AAAACCCTACATTATGGTCTTATTATTTGTAATAATTTTAATAGCAAAGAAAACATGGGTAGTAGCCATGTTCTCCATCAGGCAGAGGTAAAAACATGAATGTTTTTAGGATTTGTAGTTGCCTTGCTTAGCACAGAGACTGCAAAGGGGTGGGAAAGCCGAAAGTGGAGTATCCTCACATTTCCTACAATTTTGGACATAAAGGAGAAGCAATTCTCTTCTCACCTAATCAGTAAAGATAATCTCATGCTTAACTTATTTCTGGATCTCTAAGTCATTTGTTTAGCCCTGTAAATTTGCTGATGAGCAGTTTCAATAAAGCTTCTCGGCAGTTCTTTCTACCAGAGTATGAAAGCCATCCAGATATTTGAAGGCGTGAAATGGAATGACTCCAGCTTTCAGTGGTTCAGAAGAATAATAAGGTCATGGTCACAGTTAGCTGGCCCAGGAGTGTGTCCATCCTGTATACATTCAGGCCACCTGATAGCGGAAATCCAGGAGTTCACAGACTCACAAGTTAGCGTTCTACTAGGGAAATGCTTACAAGAAACTGGACCAGGATAAAGTAAAGACCAAGGGACAGAAAGAGAGCTTGAATTACATTACTGCAATATTCTTCAAAATCAGACTTTGGTGTCTTTTCAGCTTCTCTTTGGAGCTGAAAATGCCTCAAGTTTCTTCCTGAGAGACATGAGCAATTGCATGAATACTGTATTCTCTGACAATTTTCAGCGTGTTTCCATTCGAGGTTATGAGACAAGGCTGCATGATAAGGTTATTTGTATTTGGGTATTTTATGCATGCGTAACATTGTCACTTGGCTTTGCAAAATCGAAAATTCCCTGCATATCCACAGGCAAGGATAATTCAGCCTGTGGCAGGTCGAGTGAAATGCTCTCCCTTATTCTCTATCCCTGCCAGATTCTTTCCCCCACACTTCAGTTCACTAAGTTGTGTCTGAAGTCATTGCCAGTGAATAATGCTGGACCACTCTGAAAATTTGTAGCTGAGAGCTGGACCCTC